AAGGGAATGCCCGAATTTGATTTTCCCACCAGAGAGCCTCCATTATACAAGCCTCACCTCCGGTGAGTGCTAATAACCGCTTTTCAACATTAGCCTAGAAGCTACCACAGACGTCCACTTGAAAGTGGCAAGTAAATAATGTATGTGCAATAGCTTATTGCAAGAAGTATTATTTTCCATATTTAGCAATATTAAGAGACATTTTGGATAGAAAGGGTGGATGAAGCAAGGTGACTTGCGGCCTCTTTTAGGATCATGCCCACGTAGTTCATTAATTATAAATGTCAGCAGTCACTGCAATTATTATAAGAGCGTAATCGTGTTTCAAAGCCCAAACACATATTGAACATTTATTACAAATGCTACTCATTCCTTAACAAATTTTGGGAGTGCTTTGTTAAAATCACATTTCATGTACTTTAGCGCTGCACAGAATCAAAATATAAAAGCCCAAAAATTCAAAAAAAATGAAAATTCTCTGAAACAAACAACTTTCCACGATAAAAATCACAGAAAATGGAACGAATGCATTCAATCGACGCATACTCCTCAGACAGACTCTTAGAAACATAATTTTCTCGAGGAATGCAGGTTTGAAGGCGCAGGAGTTTGCGTAGAACTTAATTTTCAATACCAGAATAAGGTATAAGAAGAGCATAGCCACCACCACAAAAATCATATATCGCTAAGAGGAAAGTACCTTTGTATTCTCCTGCGAGTGATCTTGAAATAAGGCAGGGTAAATCCATTCAGACCAGACCAAAACAAATTAGAGAGAAGCTAATAATATTTCGAGAGAATACACTTTTCTGCTGCTATGCAGGCGAGCCTGGTTTATTAGTTAAGGAACCTTAGGATTGCATAGTATACAAATCTACTTATTTTGATGATACCATTATCAAAATTTCAACTTTTATGAATAGAGGCTTAAAATATCCCTTTTATATGCATTTTAACATGTTTGATTTATTAAGAACACGAGCAAGCTGCAATAAATAGGGGAGTTTATGCTTTTTCAGTTTGCAAAATACGTATAAAAAACTAGATTTCATATTGCATGGGAAGGAAGATGCGTAAACCTTGGCAATGAAGAAAATATGAAAATGCTTTTTAATGTGTATTGCTCATGCCAGTAGGTAGATAAATTTTGCCAAATAAACATTGAAATTCTCGTTAAGACTAGTTAAACGAGCAATGAGTTCACAATTTTAGTATTAAATCCCATTCTTGCTTTTTAGACTCAACATATAATTTGATTTTTTTCCACCTGGCTTAAGTCTCAGAAACCTTTGTGATAGATTCTCCCAATTACCGAGCCTAGAGAAGCAGAGACGTATAACCGATACGTTTATTCACTAGATACCGAAGGTGAACTGTGTTCAAGCCGGGAGCTTAATCATGATCAGGATGGCGGATTAGGTTAAATAAACAGAGGTTAATGATTGGTCACTGTCACCTCCCAATCCTGGCGTGCAGGCATGCGATGACGTGTCATACAAGGTAAAGCTGATTAAAACAAAAGTGCAGAGAATATGTAATGCGTTTAAGTAAATTACTGCGGAATAATTCCAATGGGACCACACATTAAAAGGCCAACCAATTTCTCGCAAAACCATGAACACTAGGACGTTCAAGTGCCATGACACCCTTGCAAGGTCAGAAGTCAGCCGATCGATGTTCTTTAGTGCACAGTCAGTTAACTGGTTGGCCAATCGCACTGTCAGATTTCACTTAGTAAGGCAGGGAGGTTAAAAGAAGGTAAGAATAACCGCTCAAACACAGCAAAGCATAATCGGCATTTTTAGTAGGCCTATGAAGAGGAGGGATGTAAAAGATTACTGAAATTAAAATTTTAAGGGAAATCTTCTGTGAATTTAAATCATTGAGAATTAAAAGTAGAATACAATTACGCCCGATTACTCTATTTTTTAACAATATAAGGAGTGTAGGTGTTAATAAAATCCTGTGCAATGTGGAGTGTTCTTTCATCATGAATTCAATGTTCTTGGTATGCATGCTTTGAGATTTAATTCCACTAATAGTAACATGCGATCCATTCATGGATAAGCACAAAGATAGTGCAATACAAACACTACACTATAGAATACATTCCCAAATAGTATATGAATCAAGCTAAAGACAAAGTCAATCAATTATGAAGCGATAATCTAACAATGGCTCAAGCAACAAGCTGCGATATTTGAGTTTGGGGTTTGTGCTGGGTGCATTCCATCTTCTGCTATCAGAAATAGATTGAACGAAAACATTATTATTATTATTATGTCAAATGACAGGCGTTTCGATGGTCAGCACTAGCCCTTTAGTTGACTTCAGGCTTCACAGAAGGAAGGAACATTAAAGTGAAAAATGTCGAGAGGGGAGGGGAAGAAACATCAAAGGGGGAAAAAAGTCGAGAGGGGGAAGAGGGGAAGGAACATTAAAGTGAAAAATGTCGAGAGGGGAGGGGGGAACAGAAGAGTGTTTCAAAGACGAAGGTAGAAAAAAGGTGAGGTGAATACTGTGGAAGTATTCGAATATGACATACAGTGGGATCATGGCAGTTTGAAGTCAACTGCCGGTTTATAGACTTTTTCCGCATGAGTATGCGTTGCCCTGTGTGCACCACGTGGAGGTAAGTCTATCGCACACCCCTTGAACGAAAATATGAGCGAATAGAAAGTAGCACCCAATGATCTTGCATTCATAGTTCCAAAATGAGCGAAGCTCGTTTCGAATACTTCTAACTACAAAAAACCTACCATTTAAGACCATTGTTCGTAGCTGCGGTAAAAGAGATTGTTTTTTAAACCAAATTTTCGAACTGCAATCTCTCTCAGCAAACAGTAGATTCTACACTGAGAGCTTTAAACTCTTCCATTCTACTTGGGAAATGAAATGAGTGAATCAAATAATCTCAATAAGAAAACTCGAAAGTGATAGGAATGTAACTAAATGTTTGAGACAAAATAGGAGTAACAGGAAATTAAATCATTGCACTTACCCACTCTTCAACTCAGATAAAAAGGTATTTATTGGCATTCTCGGCTGTTCTAGCTTAGTTATCGTAAGTATCTGGTAAAAATGACCCCATGAAGTGCTCACCTCACCTTTTTTCTAACTTTATGTTTGTCTCTTACATCTTTGAAACACTCTTCTGTCCCCCCCCCCCCCCCCAACTCGACTATTTTCAATCTGATGTTCCTTCCCCTCTGTGAAGTCTGAAGTCAACTAAAGGGCTAGTGATAACCACCAAGACGCATGCCATTTGATATAGTTATTCAAAGTTTAATTTATATAGGCTCTATCTCAAATTAAGATCATTCCACCTCAGCTCTCTACCCACGATGCAGTGTGATTAACCCTATGGCTATAGAATACTATTAATAAAGAACCACATATAATATAATGACTCAATAACATTCCGTCATACAGGAATTCGCATAAAGTACTTGACTTGCGGTTTATCCTTTGAACTACTTTTAGGAAGCAGAATCGGATGTTTTCGAAGCCCAGAATGGTATTTAATCTTTATAGTTGGAGAAATGCAAGCATGGTGTATTGGTAAGGGACCAATAGTGATAAGGGATAGTTCACACGAGGCCACGTTGTACCACCTTAATAAGCAACCAAATTAATGGATAATCGTGTGTTGCCGCTTCACACATTCCCTGCGATTCTCAATGATCGTGTTTATTTATTCCTTTATGCGAAATTTACTTTAACGCTCTTATTTATTGGTATGATTTAATTTATCATCTACGATTCAGCACTGAGAATTCCCTTTTGTTGGCAGAGCACTTGAGCTTAAGCACAGAGAAAGCAGGCAACTTTTAACTCAGCACTACTAAAAATGAGAGTAGAATTTCTTAAGGCTAAAAATAAACAGTGCAACGGTCTATCACATGTCATAAGTACTTAGTAAAATAACTCACTGTTGCTCGAAAACAAACCCTTTGCGTTCTTATACGAAGTATACCTTATTAAAAAGAGTAATTAAAGTTTAATAGCACATCCTAGGGAGCACGACCAAATGGCCCTTTTGCAACACCATTAGCCACTCAAAACAAGGATTGGGTAATTGTTATTATCGACCAGGAAAGTATTACTTACTACTATTAAGAAAAAATAACAGGAGATTTCATAGAGCTGCAGCACACCAATTCCGTTAAGAAGCCTATCTACTTGTACAACTCTCGGAACATGGTTTAGCACCACGTTTTTTACTTCTGCATATTTCGTTGTTATTTTAATATCTAAGTGACAAAGGTTAGTTTGATTTCTGCTCAAATCTGTGATGAAAAAATGAGAACCAACTTATATTTATAAATGAGGCAACTAATAACTAGTTCAAGAAACAGGAGGTGGATGCTAAGAAACGCTCTATATACGAAAAAATTACTACGCAGTCGAGAGTTCCATCGGGTTAAAATGAACTTGAACTGTAAAAAATAAAATGCGATTACTTCAGAATTGCGTTAGTACAATTTTCTTAAAAACGAGCAATGTTTAGAATTAAGGTAAAATTCAAATACCATGGATAAAGACCAATGATTACTATTTCAATAAAAAATGAAAGTAACTAGTCTCATTATCAGCCCAAGATTAATGGAAGGCAATCTTTTTCGAAAGGGGATCGATAAAATTAAACAGCCAATCAGATTCATAACAAACAGCGCAGCAAAAATTATACAACTAGAATAAAGAAAACTCTAAACGAATTTTGCACCACTGAATCGATATTACCAATTAGTAAAAACGAAGCGGGAATTAAATCTTACATTTCCAGCTACACATAGGGAGATGGGGGCATAAATGAAACTTTTCCGATTTAACAGAAAACAAAGTTGCAGAAAGGGAATTTTTCAAGTGGGGGCGACGTAACTTTACAGGGCTGGATCAAAAATATGTACGGGGTTGCGTAGTTACAATGTATCTTGGCAAAATGAAAAGACTTTAAAGGTGAATATAGGGGAACTCGACATACAGAAACGACAAAACTATTAAGTATCTTCACCCCGAATATCTTTTCGGCAGATAGGACAGGAACCTTTCTACAATATAAAAATACATAAGTATCTTCTCACTTCGCAAAAACCACATATGCACATGAAAAAAAACAAATTGAAACCATGTGACTAGAAATAGAATTTTTTAAAATACAACTTACTTGAGAGAGCCAAGTTGCTAAACACGTTTGGTGAAAGTGGTGTAGACAGGGAAGGGACATTGTTTCATCATTGACTTTATACTTTTCTAAGCATATTGAACATTCTTCGTAAGTTCTAAGATCATCTTGTCCGAGTTTTCGTCTTGGTAAAGAAGCAATATCCGACGTAGACGCAGGGGGTATTGTGCCAATACCAAAATCTGGTGAGACAATAATTCAAGTCAAATTTAGAGCATTACTGTTAAGATCGCCGTTTGCCAGTAATTGCGCAATAAGGGCTGACATAGTGTCCGGAAAAAAACGTGTTCGAGACCTTCTTGATGGTGTCCCGTGTTCAGGAGGGTTCAAATTAAACGTTGCGATATCAGGATTAAATCCAAATGTAAAACCTCCAAGAGCAGAATTGATCTCAGATATTAATGTAAGAGATGCAAGTTCTGCATCACTTTCGATCCTAAAGATTACGTAATTTAGCTATTTAAGTAGCATACTCGTTCAGCTCGGTATTATGTACCGCCGATTCTACCTCTTCAATGAATCCTTGATGGCATATGTTACATTTTAAAACAGAATTTGTTAAGGTGGGATTTGTAGATCGTTGACAATAATGGCAATAATACCTTCCGCCCCCTACGCCTCCAGAAGCCATCAAAACCGAGAAACTAAACCAAGTTAACAGACAGGCAACAGAAGTTTGCTCAAGTGCAACACGAAAACCAATGAGAATTCAAAAAAGTGTCCAAAGTAGGCAAGAGCGAGTTATTTTTACCTCAAATGCTAGCATGAATTTTATAGTTATAGCATAAAGATAAGATTTTTTCAATTAAAAATTCTCAGCATTTATATTTCTCTCAAATTCATGCTCAACTCATCTTAGCAATGTTGTATAACTTATGTAAGCACAATTATGAATAAACCAGAAATTTCCTTTACGGGAAACAAATGAAAATTATTTGTTTAAATAATAATTTTTCAAATCTAAATCGTAAACTAATAGTAAAATACTTTAAGTGGAATGCCTTGATTTTTATTACAAGAAATTTAGCGATAAGCAGAAAAAATCTCGCCTTAAATTTAATTATGAATTTATGCATACACTTGCCGCTGAATTTTTGTGATTCTACTAATTTGCTATTTCCTTTATCATTGACTATCCCAAATAGGCAAGAAGTATTCTTAATCTGTTGTTTTCTTTTACTTTTGAATGTAAAAATATGGCACTATCGTTTTTCTAGAGAAGCAAACGGTATCATTTATTTTAGAAATCCCTCATTATACGGTTCATCATTTCTTTATTGGATTAAATAACTGTTTTACTTTAAAGCGTACAAATTGCCAGCCTTCAATTCTTTACTCACTGACAATTCTAATTTTGATACCTTATTTTACTAAAATGTACTGCACTATTTGCAATATTGCTAACCCAAAATAATAATAAAGCGTTTAATTTGTGCAATGTAAATGAATCGCTTCGTTGATAACTAAGATTATGTGAAATAAGAAAACATTAATGTACTAACTTTTCAACGATAATAGTTTAAATCAAACATGAATGTAATAATCAATATTCAAGTATACAACTTTTCCTTTGGATACTTGGAAGTTGACTTGGTTTGTTTTAATTACGTTAAAAAATTCGAAAATACCTAAAAATGCAAAGTTACTGGAGTTTGGCAACTAGAATTGGGGAATGATTTCTCTTCTCTTATGTAACTGATTTCGTATTGAGGAAATAAAGATGAAAAACAGGAAGGAAATAGCTTAAGATATCTAGTATAACCAGTTGTATTAAAGCAGCTCCTGGTGTTTCGAAATTTTTAAATCTGTACTACCTTATTCATAAAAGATGCAGGCTGTAAGTGAATTTCAGTGCAAATAACTGCTCCAATGCAAATTATTACTTGGGTTACCGACGAGATATGTCTAATGCCACAAGATTAAATTTTTTGTATTAAAAACTGACTTGTTTAAAGAAAATATTGCGGTGGTTTTTCTCTACATTGAACTGCTCCTGAGACGCGAGGGACTTATTTTTACCACCCGTTTACACTTATTTGATTCCATTCAAAGTCACAAAAAGCAGGACATTTGACTTGCTGTTTCTCTCAATATGTTATCTAACAAGCCTATGTAATCCCCAAAGTTTCTAGTTAATTTTTTTTGTTTCATTGCTTGAATTTTTCGGTGATCAGTTAGAATACGTATGACTTTGTAGTCAGTTAAAGAAGATGGAACAAATTTCTACTATATAGTAGAGGTCGTTCAGTATATTCTATACTTCAATACTACATGAGCTTGTTCTGAGAAAACTGATTAGTGATTATGTTTTCTGGTTTTACGAGGAAGTCGCCATTTGCTACAGTGTGGTGATGAATGGAGTCACTTTTAAGAGGTACGTTTTATTTCTATTTTCGTATGAAATATCGGATGCGACCGAGAACATTAACTCAGTTTTTGATGCACATGACTGCGTTGGTTTTTGTCAAATAACATCTCTTATCTAGAAATAAAAATATTTCTTTGTACAGTATTATCAGTACAATATACAGCTTTACCTATTGATTTTGGCTTTTCTAATTAGGAATTCATGAATTACTTACAATGAAGGACAAAAATATTGTCTGATATTTTATTCATACCATTAAACGGCATCTCATCATACAGTAAATAATATAATCAAACTTTGATTTACCATTTTTTATACTTGCAGAAACAGAACACTGAACGGTTTTAAATGAAGAAAGCTTATACTTTTAATCGATAATAATAGTTTATATGTTTTCAGAAAAAGTTCCCTTAAAAATAAGATTCAAAAGTACGAAATAGCTACAATACGCAGTAAATCATGAATTATGAATGAAATAAAAAGTTTAATGATGCAGTACTATGACTGTCAAAATGGGACATATTTATTCACTTTCAAGTAAACTCAGAAAAAAAACTTAAGAATAGATTCGGAATTTTTATTCATTTTTACTGTTTTCTAAAATGTGAAACTCAATATCGTCATTAGATGATAAAAGTTTGTTTTAATGTACCAATGAAAATAACTTCTATAGAGTGTGCAAAAGTGAAATATTGAGGTAGTAGTTACGAGATGCATATAATGGAATACATATGCCATTTTTTCAAAAAATATTTAGGCTATGACCGTAATAGTGTAAAGCGATGATTTTAAAATTAAGGAAACCTAGATTCTTCCCTTTTTCTTTTCAAAAAATTATCGAAGGAATTCGAACTTTAACAAAATATTAATTTGGCCTGCAATGGTTTTATTATTCGTTATGAGACTAGTTAAAATTGAAGTTAATATAAATCTGCTTTAATACTTTATTTAGCCAATATTTTTATTCTTTAATTTATACTTTCTTTTGGTAGATTTACTTATGAAATAATTTGATTTATATGAATTATTAGCTCAAATTCAGATGCAGGCATCAGAATTTTGCATGAGCAATTTTTTAAACCATGATTTTCTCATTTAGGTTTCCATAGCGCTCCCATATGACAACAGATGGTGAAACGTGGCAGTTGGTAATTATTCGTTTCATCACTTTAAATTTACATTTGCTCTTTATATCCTTTAATATTAAATTTCATTTGCGTAAGTATTTTACTTCTACTTACTTACCAAATTTTCATCTTTTTACCTTTGAATTAATGGGAAGTTTTCTGTTTCTATTTATCGATAAAATTTATTTTCGGCCAGCCTTTTCTCGTTATATATTTTAAGCAACTAAAGACATTACCGAAGTAGAATAAATTTCGTAGTATGCAAGCTTAGGTTGATTTCAATTGGGAATTATGCTTGGGCTGTATTGATGAAAACTTTTAATGTCGACTAATATTTTCAGAGTCGTCTCAATGATGTCCTATTTTTTGGTAGTTAATAGTTTGATATCAATAACACTAATGATTACTATAATTTAAAAACAATTTTCAGAACCTTGAGAGTTGGCGAGAACGTCGAAGGGCAGCGACTAGAGCTATAACTCAGGAAATTCAACCGCTCCGCTCTCCTTCGCCACCGCTAACCGTCGAGAATACTGAACCCATCAACAGACCAGACGCTCTCCCATCTTCCGGCATTAATATTAGAGAAACGCTAAGGAAGTTCAAGTAAGTTAATCCAATTACACAGGAATATATATATATATATATATATATATATATTGCCTATTAAAGCTAATACATCGCACTTCTATTAAATTCCTATTGAAGGACACTGGAAAGGTCACCAATTTCAGACTCTGACAAGCGATCCATAACTCAGAGGGAAATCAATTCAGTTTCGAGCGGGATTGTCAAGAACAGCCCTTTTCTACTTTCAGACGCAGAAAAAGCAAAACAGCTTGCCAATGGTGTAAGGCTTCAAACTTTCGCTATTTATTTTATCAAGTTGAAATTTCAAACAAACATATGATTTGTTCCCACAAATTTCATCCAAGAAAACTCCAACTTGATTGTTTTCACGTGAAAATCCGATGATTCCGATTCATGCAAATTAAATTTTTGGTCAATAATAACCTAAGTCTCATTCCTAATGCACGCCAACTATTCCAAAATTTGTACCATACAATTCAGACAAAATAGACTTTCAAATTTCTATTCATTTTGGTCAAGCCGTATTAAATGCCAAAATCTAGCATTTAAAAGCTACTAAATTACAATAGCCGTTTTTCTCGAGATTGGGAGACCGAAATTGGATTTTGACACTTGTGTTGGGCAATCGTAGCAAAAAAGATGATGTGAATAATCAATAGGAGAATTTTGTATGAACGTTTAACCACCTTGCATTTTTATACAGTGAAAAATTTGCCCGATATAAAATACTGAAAATGTTTATCCCTTTTTATGGTCTCAGTGAGTCACTATGTGAACACTAAGGTTAGAAGATCTATGAGTCAGTGAGTTTGCACTATAATCCTTAAACTCAACCTTCGTGTATCTCAGTCTATTCTTTAAACTACTAATAGCCGATGGAAAGCTGTCAATATGCTTGCTTACTGTTTCAGTCATCGCGTGTTTGATACTTCTCAGATATTGCCATTGCGAATCATCAAAGATTAAACAAGAGCTAATCATTGGAAGGCATAGTCTTGGAAAGTGAATTTTTGCTTTATATAGATCTTAAAAAAATGTTTCATTCCATCTGAGATTTCCCAATAAGGCTTCTCTCATTCAGTTTTAATCATGTAAATTAATCCAGTTAGGAATCCGTGACATCGAATCAAGGTAGCATATTTTAGAATCGCTTAATCTTGCAAAATGCAGAAGTTCGAATTCCGTTAAACGAACTTGGCAGACTTTGCGACCCTGATTTCACCCTAACTATTTGAACAATATCTGCCAGTTCTCTTGGCCATTCTATTCTCTTTAGGTGTAACAAAGTGTATAGTACACATGACCTACCACTTTACATGCATGCATCCTGTCTACAATTTTTTTTAGTTTGGGCAGTAATTCTATCCTATTCTTTACATCAATCAACCACAAAAAGGAAATGTTCCACGTTTATTCTCACCAAAGTCAATGAGTGATGAGCGGTAGAGGTGAAATGTATTTTTTGTTATTTTATATGACGCACGACATTTTCCCCATTTCACGAATGTAAATTTGGGCAATAAGCCCGTTAAACTCAACATATTT